ATTTTCAGAAATATTAAATTTTGTTTTTCAAGTGTATGATTTTCATTATAAACCAGGTTTACAGCTGGCTTAATTTGACAGAATTCTTCATAAAGTTTATCCATGTTTATGTTAAGAAGACCAAAATCAGTGACAACTTCACACACGTCATTATATTTTAAGGGTTCAATCAATGAAAATATTTTTAATTTTGAAAGAAAGTTGTTTTCAGTAAAAAGAACATTTCTATAAAAATCAATGCACGTTATCCTAATGTCATTTTGAATATTACGTGGAAAAGATTTAAGCAAATTAGCACAACCAAAGCCTAGAAATTCGTCTTCAATTCTCTGAACCAATTTATTTCTTAAATTAGTTAACTTATTAAAAAGTTCAAAACAATTTAAATTCCTGTTTTCCAACTGGTGTTCAATATCAAAATTAATTTTGAATATGTTGTGAAAAAGTGAAAAAGTAACATTCTGTAATACTATTTTGATAATTCTCTGAATTTTCAGAAAAATAACAAGTTTCATAGGACAATTTTCACCAAGAGACATAAAATAGCTTTTTATCGCAGAAAACACGTATAGTAATCTTTCTACAGCAGAAAAAAGTGACAACCATCTTGTTGGTTCGTGACAAAATCTTTTAAATCTCCCACTCTTTTGGCTTGCGAAGAAAAATGGGCATATACTTGAGCACTAAGTTTTCAATGTCAAAATTGCATTTATTTCATTCATGTTTTACGCTATTATTTATTATATGAGCGAGACATCCACTCGGCAATATTTTTAAGCTATTGCATAGCTTTTATCGCGGGCTTTGAGTGGTGACCGAATCAATAAATTTCGTAACACCGTAACAAAAATAAACCTAACACCCCCCACTCCGACCGGCACAGCAGTGTGACGTTAAAGCCATGGAATTATGGAATGTTATATCCGACCCTATTCGTATTAGTATGAAGCTAAGTTAAATATACGTCTGCGGACTGGAACATTTGTGCAATACAAGAACTAGAAGAGCTTCTAATAAATTGGTATCACAAATGTTCCCGACAATTAAAAGTTTAGGTCATTCTAAAAATACTAGTAATTTAGGCAGACACTTTTGAGAGGGTTTAATTGCCGGCCAACATTAAAATAAGTCTTATTTACTTATTTAGAAAGAGATTTTAAATTCATATTTCGGAGTATAATAAAAAAATGCATTTATTTAGAGACTTATTTAAACTTTTAATCTCTCAAGATTAATACAATTAAGTAATAATGATACTTTTATAGTATTTTAATCATATATTTATGTGATTCCATTAAATTACAATGTAGGTATCATTTGACATGATAAAATTTTTCGTAAATATTTAATAAAATGTCGCAAAGCGCACAGTGGTCGTAATGTGGATAGTGTGGGTAACAAGTTGGTGGTTCGAGCCCCGAAAATTTTAGTTTTTTTTTTTTTAAAGGAAAAATATTGTTTTATTATTTCACAGTCTTGGTAATTTAAAATGTTTAGTTTTTAAAAATTATATACTTATTCAATGCATAGTGGCGCATAACGAGGTTCTTTCAAGTTCAGCTAATTTTAAAAATGCAAGCTACCGGTGGAGACTTCGTTTATTTAAATTCAAAAAAATAGGAATAGTATATTACATTACAAGTGTGGAAAGTGACATTTTTCACACGAGTGAGAAATATTGTCGCACGAGGCACAAGCCGAGTGCGACTATCACACGAGTGTGGAAAATCACTGAATAAGTATATACCTTTTAAAAACTAAACATTTTAAATTACCAAGACTGTGAAATAATAAAACAATAATATTTTTCCTTTTTTTTTAAGAAAAAAAAAACTAAAAGTTTCGGGGCTCGAACCACCAACTTGCTATCTACACTATCCAAATCCAAGTAGGTGTATGTCATCTATGTACAACAGAGAATAGCTCTACGCGTAAAATTTGTGTATAAAGTGTTGAATATGAATATGAATAAACAAAGTGCATTTATTAATGAAGAAAATGATGAAAAAATAATGAAAGAAAATGTATGTACATACATTTTATTATTATCACAAATGCAGTATTTAGTACCTTTTAGCCCAAGAGCCCACTGCAAATTTCGACCGAAATCTGATAACGACATGAAATATGCTTCAAAGACATGTAACAACATTGTACTTTACCAAATTGCACCTGTGCCAATCCCTATCCTGAGCAAAGTGGTTAAAAAAAATTATTTTATAAACCTCTAGTGTCAATAATAAAAATGACTGAATGACCTACATGTATTGTAAGAAATTAAAAATATTTTAAACAATATTAACTTCTCATTTATTCAATTTATCGGTCACCACGCTCAAAAAGTGTAACTTGAATTAATATCAAAGAAAAAACTTGAATTAATATCAAAGAAAAAAAAAATACCGCATAAATGAAATAAATAATTATAATTGCATAAGTTGATAAAAATGCTCTGCAATAGCTTTACCGCGGCAGTTCCCGAGTGCCACACGTTTTTTTTTAATTTTCTTTGAGCAATAACTGATATCTGCAGAGAAACTTGAAATTTGTTTTAAGTCTAGCTCAACAGACCAAAGTAAATACCCATTTTCAATTCGTTTAATAAACTTTCCAAAGATGCAGGGCCCAATACGTTATAGGCTATAGAACTAGCTTTAGTACGTCCCAAACTTATTTCTTTTGCAATTTTTGAATCATTAAAAACTATTGGCGCCAGCTGAGATGAACAATTTAACGAGTTGTAGGAATGGGAATGTTTTACAGTATGAAATACACTACAAAGTTGCGCAGTAATTTCTTTTTCCTTTGCAGTATCTATCACGTCTGATTTTAAACAAGTTGACATTGTTTGATTTTGTTTAACAGCCAATGCACTTTTTTATGTTCTTGTCCCATTTCGTGTTTTCGTACATCGCTCTTTCCCCCATACGCAACTAAAAAAGACTTAATCACAAATCTCATAATATGCTTTTGACAAACCGTCACTAGCGGTAGTTTCCTCAAGTAGCCATGGATATTTCTGCTCCTATTCTTTTCGGCAAAGACATAATCTTCTAAATGTAAAAAAGTGGAGAAATTAAGTACAATAAGCGTCCTGCATTAGGTTGTTGCAGGACACTGAACAATGTACCCCAAATGGTGGACGTCCACCGAAATGCAGGACGGTTGGCAACCCTACCTATAGCACTTAAATAAAATTGACGTGTTAGACGATGTTGTTTCTTCATACTAGAAAATATCGATACTGTTGCTTGGAAATGAGCTAGATCCAGTCGAATAAAACAGTTTTTAGTAAAAGGCTGATGGAAAAAATAATGCTTTAAAGACTACTTGGAGGTACCGTTCTAATAATACTGGTAAATGATATATAGAGTAATGCTAGCCATATGTCGCAGACAACTTCCTTCGGATTTTATGCACCATTTTTAACCAAATGTGCTAGCCACGTATGCAGGGTAACACTATTTTGCGCTTCACTAAGCATACTAGTGGCTGGATATTGATTTCCTCTTGTGAATTGTTTAAGACGTATTGTTCCTTCATAAAGGACTATATTTTTATTGTGTCTCTAGGTTTTATGGCACTGCGCAAACCAATGTTTAATGGACCCTTTCAAATCAAGGTTGTTTTTAATTTCTGTACGGCTAATATGGGATCTTTATCAAGCCGCAACTCTTACTGAATTGCGTGTTTGAATTTTCGTATAACCTTTAATTTAGGTAAACTTAAAGATTCAATGTCCTCTTGAATCTCATTAACCGCACGTAATCGCCTATACTGAGATGGAACAATATTTGTTGTTTTTAATTCCTTAGCAATGTTCTTTATTTCAATACCAATTATCGGTCGTTTGACAATATGTATAATACTAAAATTTGCAACACATTCAAAACTAATAGCCACGTTCTCATTTTCAGTGTAACCTGAAAGATCTCACTGACACTCTTTACATAGACTAGATAGCAAAATATTTTTCTCATAAATTACTTTTACATCTTTTAAAACTAATCGAGCCTTTATAATCTAGAGATCTTAAGGCCGTCTCAATTTTATGCTGTAAAATATTAGACCAGTATTTTGGTTCTATTGTCTTTGTTTACTTTCTTCAAGAATAGTTTTTCTCTAGTAATTATCAGCTTTCTTGTATGTAGTTATGTGAGGATTTAAATTTAAATATTTGAAATAACTATGAACTATATCTTGAGTCATTGTATTGCTTGTGGAACATTCACTTGAATTTGTTGTGGAATTCTTAGTTTCCTTATAAAAGGTCTCAGAAAATATAATCTCATTGGAGTCATTTTCTAGATTGTTAAAAAGTACTGAATGAGAATCATAATAGTTTATTGAAACTGCTGTAAATAAAGCAAGCGGACTAAAATTTTCCGATGTTTCCATAGACAAATTATGCCAAATTTTGTCATTCTTGGAAACAACCTTCTATTTTTGACAACTTGTTTCTTGTACAATAGAAGAATTCTCTTAACATTTTCGAATTGCTCTTCTGTGTGTTTACGTTTTCGCGTCTACAACAAAATAATAAAGAACTCTAAATGTAAATAGTTTTTTACGGCAACACCGCGGGTCCAATTTATGAACACCTCTTAAAATTTTAAAATTAAATGGCTCTGGTATTACTGAACCGTTATACACTATCAAAAGGTGTCCAAAACTATTTCAAAGCTGATTTTTGTTTCCCACCAAATATGTTGTATCGTCTTCAGATGACAAAAACTTCCCAGAATAAGTTCGTCGATTCTTCTTCATTATTATGGCCGGTTCATACCAATAGCCTTTTAATTTGGTCCATACCAACAGTCCTAGGTCCCAGCTACTTTGAAGCACTGGAGTAGCAGGAGATATGGCTTCATTATTAAAACTTGATGTGGATGATTTATTTAATGTTAATTCTTCAGATAGATTATTTAAAGGAGGTTGTTCGTTTATTGATTCTTGAGACGTTGAAGGATGATTGAAAGTATTTTCTTCAGATAGATTATTTATGATAGATTCTTGAGACGTGGAGGATGATTATTTTCTTTAGACGGATTTTTTAAAGTAGATGTGTAAGGATGATTTACAGTATATTTTTTAGATGTATTATTTAAACTCGTATTTAAAGTATGTTCTTCATTGGATTGCTGAGATGTGGAAGGATTATTTAAATTAATTTCTTTAATGGATTGCTGAGATGTGGAAGGATTATTTAAAGTAATTTCTTCAATGGATTGCTGAGATGTGGAAGGATTATTTAAAGTAATTTCTTGAATGGATTGCTGAGATATGGAAGGAGTAGAATCTTCTCTTATGGATTTTCGTTTATATACTGTTGCAGATGGATTGATGTAGCCAGTATTATTATAAAATCGTTCTGAATCACGTAGATTGTTTTTAAAATCTTTAACGCCACAATGTTGGCAAAAATCGTACCAAACAACCCTCTTTAAAAAATTTACAGACCTGGAGTCAATTTTTCTAATGTTTTGTTCATTTAAATAACATTTAAAAAAAATAGATCTATTTAGGATCAAATTGAAATATTTTACGACTTTGTCTTTCGACGATACTTCTGGAAATATCTTATCTAATATTTCCTGGGTTTTTTTATTAGAAAAACTACGTTCTATCATTTTAAATTTATGTAAATCACATAACTGTGCGGCCGCTAAAATTGGACAAATCTTTACGAGTGGCCAATCTCTTATTTTAAAAAAACAATTGTCCATTAACGATAAGAAATCATCTCTCGATATTATTGTAATTATAAATACGGTTTAAAATTTTATTTACTTCTGTAGTTGATTGTGGAGGAAAAGTATAATGTTGTAAACACATTTTAAATTCTAAAACTTGGAAGGGGTTTTTAAAGAAGTATTCTGATGAAAATGTCAAAGGCATCTTAAAACTCTGAAATAGAAGAATTACATTTATAGATACATGTAGACTTAAATGTATCTCCGCTATACAGGGTGATTCAGAACTTAACGTAAAAAATTAAACGGGATGTAGTATAGCATCACAGAAAACCAGTAGTGCGACTTTTGAGGAAAAAAACCGAAGTAAAAAACTAATTTAAAAATACCCCTAGCACGCCTCTGAAAACTGGACGATTGTAGTATGCAATCTCTCCTTCCCGCCTTACGACTGATAAAATCTGGTGACTGCGCTGCCATTTTACGAGGCGTATGCAGAATGTGCTACGTAACTCCCACCCTTAAGGACTTAGAACACTTGAGAGAGAGTACGCAAAAGAAAACAATGTCATCACAGAATATTTAGCTCACCTCGATATCCTGTACTTTTTTTGAATATACTCAATCACCCTGACTCTTTCTCTCTCTGCTGATACTGCTTTCTCTGCTGGCTGCTACAGGTTGCTGATTAGGGTAAACAGACAACAAATACTAGGAAATCAGACTCGGAACTCCAAGGTGACACATTTCTTTATTTTCCTAACAGAAAAAAGTTACACATAAATAATAATGATTACATTTGGGCATGGTATAAGAAGAACAAAATAGTGTCCAGTTAGGTTCGTAACCACAGTGTGGAAAACAATAAAATAATACCTGTAATAAGGTTTCAAAAAAAACTAAAAAAAAAACTAATATTTATATCTGGTGTACAGTACCAACAAATCAAAGTGATATACCTACAAAGTGTATAACCATATTATAAAATTATAAAACTAAATGAAATGAATATTGCATAGGCCACTATATTTCATACATGTACTTCCCCTTTGGGCAATCGCCGAAAGTTTACAGACACCTATGCGAAGAAAACTAGGGTACCATGCCAAAATACACTTCTGTTAATTTAAAAAAAAAAAAAAAGGTTAAGACAAAAATAAATGGGTAATTAAGAGGACGATGGGATCTCCCATCCTCTGAATCCTCTCTTTAAGTTACCGATATCCAAAACAAAGTAAGAATACATTAAATCTTTAATAATTACATCAAAGTGAAGAAAAGGAACCGGTATCAGCGCGCAGACGCAGACTGACATCTTCATTAAATTCGGCACGATAAACACGAGAAAAAGTACTGAATTAAGTGTGAGAATCCCGCACACGATAAATAAAATAAAAAATAAGGTACAACCTTAGGGTTCCACTTGTGGGGTCCTCCTCGGGTCCCATCATCGATACCAGCCAAAATAGGCAACAATTCCTACGTAGTCGGGTACTCTCCAACTCAATCCAGCAGCAAAAGGTAGTCGGGTGTTCACCAATACTAAGGGCAGCTAATCGGGTGCTCCACCAGGAGCCAAATGAAAGAAAAGGGGGCCTGCTTCCCGTCTGGGAAAAGGAAGAACTTCGCCGGTATGACTAAGATGGCGGCACGGCAGCGGTGGACTAGTAGATCCTTCTTGGCGGCTTCGGTTTTCAAACCAACCAAAACTTAATTTGCGTAGCACAAAAATACTTGCTGGGGTGCAAATCCCGCACAACCACGGCGAACAAACAGAAAGGAAAAGGGTTTCCTTTTTCCTTCTTTTGTAAAGACACCACCAACGATTTCGCCAATTCTTTCTTTTTAAAAAAAAAAGACGACAGGCAACCAGACTCGCGCAAAAGCCAAAAGTGAATTTCCAAGTTCAGCCTCCCTTGTCATCGCATTTCCGTTCTTCTTCTTTTTTTTTCACAGCATCACCTTACTTAAACCATTCACTCAGCCAAACATACAATAAAATAAATAAGTTCATTCAGTTCTCTTTTAATAGGTATTCAATAAGAGACTTAAGCGAATCAACAAGGATTCTTAATAATTAGAATAACATAGTTTAATTCAATAGCAAAAGGAATAATTAGTGATTTAAAACCTGGCTGTTGCCTAGCCTAGTCGCAACACATGTGCACCGTAAATTGAAGACTCCAACGTGTCAACTAATGAAATTATTTTAGAGGTGCGTTCGAATAATTAAAAAAATATTATAAAGAAGTGTTAGACTATTTTCACTCCTGTAAAATAGTGAACTGAATGACTTTTGAAACCGTATCAAATGTATGAAAATGTAGTATATCGTAATTTGTGACGGGGTAATTTGTTAACAAAAATTCAATAAATTAAACCATAAAATAAAGGATTAACTTACCATTTTTACAGCAGATGTTCAAAATGTTGACCACCAACCTGAATACACATTTGAGCTCTTCTAATCCAGTTTTCACGAACTAAAGGAAAAATATGCTCTGTCGCGTAGGTCGTTTGCAGCTGCTGTAAGGCGTAACTGCAGTTCTTCAATATTCGGAACTTCTGTCCTGTAAACCTCGTTTTTGAGATGTCCCCATAAAAAAATCCAACGGATTCAGGTCTGGAGACCGTGGAGGCCATAAAACTGGTCCACCTCTTCCAATCCACCTTAACCCGTAAACATTATGAAGGTGTTGACGAACTGCTAAACGAAAATGTGGGGGAGCTCCATTGTGTAGGAACCACATCCGTTGACGAACATCTAGAGGCACATCTTCTAGTAGTCCAGGCAAGTCATTTTGAAGAAAATCAAGATATTGTCAACCATCCATTCGATTTGGTAAAATATGTGGTCCAATTAATCGATCGTTTACAATACCAGCCCAAACATTAAGTGAAAACCGATGCTGGAAGTGATCTTGTCGAATCGAACGAGGGTTTTCAAATGCCCAAGAATGAGTATTGTGAATGTTAAATACCCCATTTCGAGTAAATATTGATTCATCCGTAGATAATACATCAGACAAAAATTCGGGATTTAGGGCTTCTTGCTCCAATACCCATTCACAAAATTGTATTCGCTGTGGATAATCTTCAGGTTGTAACGCCTGGACACGTTGTGTGTGGTAAGGGTACAGCTGTTCCTCATGTAGTATTCGCCAAACGGTTGACTGGGAAACTCCGGGTATTTCTCTAGCAACCTGTCTTGTACTCACGCTGAGATTTTCGTGGGCCATATTTAATATTTGGTCTTCAATTTCCAAAATACGCTGGGGTCGTCCCGGTCCTCCATCCCTTCCGTGATTTGGCATTAATTTACCAGTATCGCGACCGCATTGTACCACTGAACTAAACGTTGTATGATTGGGTATTCGTCTATTCGGAAAGCGTGCCGCGTATAAACGTCGGGCAGCCAATGAATTTTGTCCTGCCTCACCATACACTAACACCATATCCATTAATTCACCGTTTGTAAACATTGTTTCCACAAATACACTAAACACAGATTACACCGATAAGCCAGACACCTTTTCCCCCGGTAACCTGCGTTGATTCACTGACACTGACCTACTGACATAGAAACGGATCTCGATGTGGACGCCAACCATGGAGACGGGGTAGGCACGCGTTTCGCATTTGATTGCATCAGCTGGAATCTAAGGTAGCTAAGGTACTTACAGTCGGCCAAATGAATTGTGTTTCTCTGTGTAAAAACTTAATAATTTTTTTTCTGGCGAAACTAAAGGGAATTTATTAGATTTTTTTCGCGATATGGGTTTAGAATTTTTTGCTCTATATTCCCTTAATTTTTTTCGGTTAAGTTCTGAATCACCCTGTATGTGATGTTTACATTCATAAAAAAAATTGTCACTGACTGACAACGAACATGGTACCTACCCCTAAGCCGGTAAAATCTTTACATGTCAAAAAAACTTAGTACGTAAGAGGGAAAACGAGTCAAACTTGGCACCAACTTTACAAACCAATATAATACAATTGTTTTAAAACTAATTTTGGTTAATTAAGCAGTACGTAACAGGGAAAACGAGTCAAACCGAGAGTCAAACTTGGCACATACTTTACAAACCAATATAGGTAATAAAATTGTTTTAAAACTAATTTTGGTTAACCCATTAACGCTCACTATTTTTTTAATCGAGAATATTTTGTTTCATCGATTTTTTTTAATAATTTAGGCTTCCTGAACATCTAAAAAATAGTAAAAAAAATCTAGGCTGTCATATGACAGATTTATAGCATGGGTCGTTTACGACCCACTGAGCACATAGCATATAGGTAGGTAGTAATAAGGTAAGTATTTGAAGTAAAATATCTTTTATTCAAAAATTCAAAATACAAAAATACAAAAAACACAAAAAAAAACAAAAAATACAAAATAATATTCAAAATACAATATTATTTATGATATATTGCAAAACATTTGTCATGAAGTGCAACTTCGCAAGTAGAACATCCCTTTATAGTTTTATTTTTACAAACAACGCACCTTCTTCTGGGCAAATCAGTTAAAATTATATGACTGGCGTTTATTCGGGCTGGTAATGGATAACTTCTAGTTGAAGTTGGCCCAGATCTTAGAGGTGCAGTTCCATATTTAGCCAGAAGTGCATTGACCACTTCTCTTCTGAAAGACAAGTTGTCAAGGGATAATCCACAACTTCTTGCCACATGCCAGGCATTATTCATTGCCACATCGAATAGCCACAGAATAATGGGCATATACCATTTTTTACCACGCATGGATATTCTATAATTAGATATATTGTTGTCCATTTGGTCCACACCACCCATATTCCTATTATATAAGGAGATAACGTTGGGTTGAGGAATATTTATTTTTGCCTTGTCCTTCGCAGAGTATCGCGAGGCTTTCTGGACGGGGTTTGCTCCGAACTGGTTTGAGAGTAATGTAACATTACTGTTATCTTTCCATCGTACGGCAACAATGTTATGATTTGGATCAAGCTTGGTGTCATAAGATCCTCTATCTTTTTTTTTGTAAAATGCATCATCAGGTAATCCGCAATTTTCTGTACGATTTTGTCGTACGGTGCCTGTTGCTGCAAACCCTTTTTCTCCCAACGAAGTAACAAGTTTAGCAGACGTAAAGAAATTATCAAAATAGAGCGAAAATTGGATACCATCATAATGCTCCTTCAAAATATCTGCAAATTTCATAACCACATGTTCTCCGAGACCAAATTCAACTTCACCATCTTTTCGACGACCCTGATAAATGTCTAGCTGAGCACAATACCCAAGACGAAGGGCTAAAACCCAGGCTTTAAACCCAAAACGAATGGGTTTGCCACGGATGAATTGCTTGCATCCGTGGCGACCAAAGTATGGAATCATCGATTCATCTACAGAGAGAGACTGCTCAATTGGCATATATTTGAGAAACTTCTCATTCAAAACATTTATCAAAGGTCTTACTTTTGCCATTTTGTCAGATCTATCTATTACGTCATTATTCACGAGATGTAGATTTCTAAAAATTTCTTCAAATCTCCTTCTTCTCATAGATTTTGACACTAAAATATTTTGCACATCACTTGATTCCTCCCAATACATTCTACGTCTGGGAAGAATATTGTACCCGCTAAGAAATAAAATTCCAACAAATGTATACATTTCTGAACTGGATAACGTTAGAGTTCTATTTTGAGAGGCTGCGTATGTAACAGTATTTCTTACAATGTCGTCAATAACTTCTTTTGTTATAAATAACTCAAAAAAATCCAAGGGGTGCGTACTGCTACTAAAAGTCAGTGGCATTGGAAAAGATCCTGTCCACTCCGCGAACAGCGGCTTTTGCAAGTCTCCGTCTACCCATGTTCTGACTTCTTTTTTTGATTTTTTACTTTTCCTAGCGGGTGCCACAATGTTTTCAGTAACGTTACAGCTTTTACTATTATTATCATCATCTTCCAAATCTTGATCTTGATTTTGAAATTCCTCAGCCGGTGTATTGTTTATATAAAGTTCTGCTTCTGCTAACAGCTGATTTTTATTCAGCCGATCAGGATCATTTGAGTCGTCTTCCCCGGAATCTTCATCCGTTATGTTTCCAGTATCATTAGGTGGAGTAACGTATATATCATATTGATTAGGATCATCATCGTCAATATTTTCTAGCTCCGATAACAATTCATGGGTTGTAAGTGGTCGCCGCCTAAAATTTTAGTAAAATAATATTATACACATATTATACAAATAATAATTACTTGTGATTACCTTTTCCTCAATGTTTGTTTGCTCATTTTTAACAAATTAGACACTAAACTAAACCACTAAACCAAATCAAGCGCATGTGACAGCAATTACTACATAACCTCAAAAAAGTACTTATGTGCTCAGTGGGTTGCTAACGACCCACGCGAGTTCTGTGATGAATAACTCGAACGGTGTATTATTTTTGCAAAGTATTTCAACAGAATACTAGATTTCAAAGATATTTTAACATATAATCACTACTCATTTTAGGAAAAAATAAAAAATAAATATTTTATGTGTTGTCATAACTGATGGTGTAAGCTGGGTAATGGTAACTAAAAATAAATAATTAGTTTTTTTTACAACAAATGCGAATAATCGAAACATTTATAAAAATTGTTTGAAATAAATATACAAAGAAGTGATTTTGTGTAAAAATAAAATTATAGAACTGAAATACAGAAGAAAAAAAAATTAAATACATACGGGGTCGTTAACGACCCGCTGAGCGTTAATGGGTTAATTAAGCTTACCTCCTTACCTCATATTAAGTATATATACTTACTTATTATGTTTTATAAAAATTAAGAACGTTCGTTGTTAAAAAAAAGCACAACCTACCAAAGACACACACACACAAGACGACAAGAAAGAGAAAGATGTTTTCTTTTGGCGCTGAACTTTGTTTGTTTGTTTATCATCATCTAATTGTTACTAATTCCATGAAACAAAAAGAAACTTCTTAAGATGCGATGTTGCCAATTAAAAATAATACAAATTCTCAAAAAAAAAATCCTCTTATTGGGTATTTTGGGCCGAAAAAGCCGAAAATGATAATAAAAAATCGATAGGGCTGCTCTGGGGTAGCGCGCCGGCCCCATAAGGGGGTTTCGTCTCGCAACTTTTTGCGGGCGAATTTTTCCTAGCCGAACTTAGGTGACTCAAATTTTCACAGATTATAGCCCTAACATTACTTAAGAGCACCGTAATATTTAAAAACGATATATCATAACGGTTGGCTCATAAGAAATTCGTCCGCAAAAAGGTGCACGCTAAAACGGCCGAATTATGAAAAAAATTAAGAAAATAATTATCAAAAACATCAAAAAAAAATTATAACAAAAAATGACATATTTATGACATGGTGCGTATACGCACCATTGTCGGGAACTATACTAAATTATTTCATTTATGATAAATTTCAAAACCGTCAGTGTGTAGATGAACTTTGCATTTATCACACAGGTATATCATATGATTTTTGCACTGCTTGCATCTTCATCTTGTCTTTTCAGGATGTTTTATTATAACATGTCCAATTCTGTCAGGTCTCATATTTGGGATAACTTCTCTTGGAGGTCTTTCTATATTACTCTTGTTCATGGAGGCATCATCACTTTTCAATAGACGTACTGCCAAATAAGTTTAAATTCCAGCTGTGTTATATTAGAGTTATTCACTTTACGATGGAGTTTCCATTTAGCAATAGTGCTGTCTAATGTATTGATAAATAAAGACCACCATCACTTTTTGCCTCTTATGCTCGTTCTGTAGTTAGAAATAGCACATTTGCTAATGACTGCACTGAAAAATTATTGCTGGCGATAGTGACAATGGCATTGTCATTCCATCTGACAAGACTCAGTTGAATATTTTCTTCACCTGCGGAATCATAAGCACCTCTGTTTCTCTTCTTGAGAGTCTTTACATTGTCTAAAAGACACTTATTCGTTTTGTTATCCCTAATGGTACCTGTTGCAGAATATTGCATTTGATGTAATTTCTCGAATAATTTATACGACGAGAAGTAGTTATCAAAAACAAATCCTATGATGTAACGGATTTTTTAAGATAGCTAAGATATCTAACACTACTTGTCCTCCTAGTCCATAGGGAGATTTTTCGTTCTCTGCTCTCGCTCCACCATAAGGTATGAATGTAAAAAAATGTCCATCAGATGAACATAAACACCATAATTTGAATCCGAATCGAACGGGTTTTTCTTTTATAAACATCTTGAAAATCTCTTTATATGTTACAGTGACAATTGGATACTTTTCTTTAAAGCTTTTACATTTTCGTGATGTTCAGATCCTCTGGCAAATTCTTTTTCTTGGAATCGTGCAAACTGTAATGGCATAATCTGCTTGTAAATGCATTTATGTGATTGAATACTGTATCAAAAGTTGTTTGACTCAATCTCCGTGGCTTGAACTATGCTCACCATGCTTGTCTTTCCCCGTAGTTCCTGTAACTTTAAAGTTTTTTTGCAGATATTCAACTTTGCCTTTACTTATGCCATGGATTGACTGGAAGTTTTTAAAACAGACGTTCACTTCTTCTGCTTTATCGCCACCTTTATTCCTAACTTTGTACATAAAATAATTATCGTGAAACATAGCATTACCTTCTTCTTGACGATTTCGTCTCCTTTGTACTGGCACTAAAGACATTAATCCTGCCAAATATGCATTTTGTTCGTCATTTGAACTTAAACTGTTTAAATATTGCATCACTTCTTTTCTCTCTACTTGAGTCTTTTACAGTCTTTTACAGTTACATGGCGGCCCTTCTTCGTGAGACTGTAAACGTATTTTTTTTATCACATCGACCATTCGTCCAGATTTTTTCTTTTTTTTTGTAGTGCAATCAGGGATAACACTTTCAGAAGACATTTTTTACCCGCACAGACACTAGAAACACACATTCTCAATTTCTTAAACTGTATAGAATAGATACGTTCCTTCTAACCTGCGACAGTAAAACGTAAGCAATGCGTTGAAACTGAAATAATAAATTTTAATGCGTCGCATGTTTCTCATTTCACATGGACACTCCTACTTTTTAACCTTCACGCGTGGACATTCCTTGTTTTTATGCTTCGTACCGATATTTTAAGTAGGCATATTAGCTGGACAGTTCTAGTTTTTACCTGCTATTGTCTTGTAAGCATTTGGTTTATAATATAGCTAATAGAATGGCACTAATAACTCAATTGTAGCAAAATTGTGACATTCCTTGTTTTTTCCTTAACCATTCATTTGCCAAAAATGGGTTAAAAAATAAGAATGAGAATAATATAAATAATTAAATTCTTGTATTAATGATTAATAACCCACCCTGACTACCCTGACTGTAAATAAAAATAAAAATTATGATTAGCTTTATCGACAGTATGCAATAATAAATTGAAATTTAGGTCGCAGTCATTTACAATTTGATTAAAATTTGAACACATAACGTGTATTGGTTAGTGAGAAAGGACATTAGTTCTTGCATTGTCATGTAATATATAAGTACTAATATATATTTATCATACTGTATATAATTTGTATAGTTATTATGGTTCCTTGAACTTGGGTATATATTTTGTAATGTGTTGATTCGACATTTATTTCGACGACGTAACAATTGTGTAGGTTCGTTGAAATAAGTGATCGAAGAATAATTATTCAATAAATAACTTTCGTATAATCGACTTGATTTTTATTGCTATTGATGACGTAAAATATCCAAAAGACTAGTACCATCACATGGCGATCGTGCCAGTCGAGAATATTTTGAAGAAATATAAATATATATGGCAAGAAGAATAATTATGGAAATAAATTAAGGAAATATTAAAGAAAATTAAATAAAGGACTATTGAGAAGATGGCTGGAAATACAAATTCTAAAGAGGTAAAGGAAGAAGTAATAATCGCTAAAGCGGAAACAGTGGAGGTCAAACAAATTCAACAGAATTTTTTACATCCAAAAATATTATAGAAGCAATGTTCGTGGTATTGGCATTCGTATTTTTGTTGATGCTAGTTTTCAAGAAATGCAAGAAAATGTTACGAGAGAAATGTGGCTAAAAAAATTAAAGCTAGCCAAGAATTAGTTTAGAGAAGGAAATACCAGAAGATTTTTTTTCAGCTTTTTAGGTATGACTAAATAAAATAATCATTATAATGGAATGAGTTTGCAAAAGAAATTTGAAAATCTAATAGAAGAACTAAAAGTGTTTCATAGAAATCTATTAAAAGACTAACGAAAGAAGATGTGACATAAATGTAACTAACCGTAAGTTTAAGAAATATTAAGTTTTAAAGAGGTAAAAATATTATTTAATAAATCAGACGTAGTTTTTCGCTCAAAAGCTTATATTAAAGAACTTGCAAATGTTGTTGATAAACTTATTGAGGCAATTACAGTTAATTTAGTTGAAAGGTTACAGTTTTCGCACAACATAGAGAAAACTGAACGGGAAACCAATTTAGAATCAGACTCTTCTCTTTCAGATTGCTCAAATAAAGTTAAAATGCAAGCTTATATGATTATGTGGGGTGTGTCCAGTCCCAGTAGTTCTGCATTCACTTGGCCAGAGTAGGAGAAAGCGAGTAAGCGGTGGATCGTATTCATGCAGGAGAGTCCCTCAGGATCTTAGTTAGGTGTTGCTGCTGGAAGGGTGAATAAAAGCAGGTGCACATGCAGGAACCCAAAGTACCTTATACCAGAGCCTTAAAAGTCTAGTAGATATTAGCAAGTAAAGGATAAAAGGTCTATAAATAAGAAAATACTTGGTTAAAACTCAAGAGTACATAATATTTAATGAAGAGAATAGCAGAAAGTGTTAGTTCGACCTACCTTGGATGGTGGATGACCTTAAAACGGTGAGAAATAATAAAATTATTATCTTTAAAACTTTTAAATATCCTCTAAAGAGATTCTTCGTTTGTATAACAAACCGAAAAAAATTATATTCAAAATAAAGATTTAAATAAATATCCGCAAAATTGCGACAATGTGACCATTCACATCAAAATGTCCAAATATAAAAGATCTCTTTTTTTATATTAAAATTCTCACCAAAATCCTAGTGATTTTGAATTTACAAATATTGCAGGTAATGGTAAGCAGATTTTTGGTGTTGCTGAAAGTGATCAGAATCAACAAACTTTCCTTAAAAGAATAATTGTGACAGGGAAAATAGACAGATTGATATATTCGAAGAGAAGAAGACGGAAAGTAGTCATAACCCTTCTGGTATGAAAACAGGACCCCTTTATATAAATTAATAACATGCCTTAGTTCAAACAGTTTTGAAAATTTATAAGGTTTGTTATTTGATTTTTATAATTATTTAGTTAAATATGACTGATAAAATCTCATCCCTAATATTTTCATAATATGGCAAAATAAAACTGTAACACATTTTAATTTGGTATAGATCGCATTTTTTAAGTTTGCTGCATTGTCTGATGCAGCTAATCATATTTTATCCTGAACTCCCCAATCCGACAATTCTATGAAGTTCTTTGGCCAAATTTTCTGAAGTATGGTGATCGTCGATGTAATGAGCTGTAACTGCTGTGTATCTATCATTATTGTGAGATGTCCAACTATCTGTTGGTATACATATACATACTTTTCTTGCTTCTTTAATTAGGTCTCGCACGCGTATCTTACATTTGTCATACATAACGGGTTTCATAGTGTGGGAAATCATATGCCTGCTTGGCAACTCATAATTGGGGTTTAAGGGGTTAACAAAATCTTTAAAAGCAGTTTCTTCTACCAGTCTAAACGGTTGAAAACTTTTTGTAAAAAGTAAAATCAATTTACCATCGATATATTCCTTACAGTTTAAAACAAGTGGTCTCGATACAAACGATGATATTTGTAGTTGACCGGAATTATTTGTTTTTCTTTTAAGATTTATATTATTTTCTTTATTTGTCGAACTACTCGGCCCTGCATGGACATCGGTAATTTCATTACTCTAAAATAGTTATTGTAAAATGTAAAATCTAGAATAATAGTTTATAAATAATTTTACCTGCGGATTAGTGTAAGTTTCAGTATTATTTATATTACGAGTGCCGGTATTAACACTACTTTTCATTTTAGGAATTGGTACAGTTACGGTGGGGTGCTTGCTTTGCAAATGTCGCCGAAGATTTGAAATACTAGTTTTGTATGATAATTTAGTTAAACAAACATTAAACTTAGCAAAAACTTCATCTAGTGAATCAAAAAAGTTCCAAAGTTCGCTTGATTTTCTTTAAAACCGACATTTCAATATATTCAAAACTTAGAAAGAAATAAATCATAACCACAAACTAATTACTACATCAACGAAAGCGCCCTTTATTTTGTATTTGTTGGGTTACACCATCCAAATCTCGCTACTCGCGGTGCATAGTACAAACAAGAACGCAAAGCCAAACGAACTAAACGAACGATTAGTTCGTTTACATTTACGTACGTTTTCAGATCACGCCGAACAAGAAATATTCGGGGAATTCCCCATTTCCATGATGACAATACCGAAAAATTTCTGACTAAATCGTCATCTGCCAGAAAATAATACAATTATTATATAATCTGTACCAGCAATACAATAGCATATGCGATGTGCGTAACTTTGTGAACTAAGCGCTAGATGGCGTTGAATGCATTAACAAAAAAGTCAAAGACGTGATTCGTGATTTCGGTATGCAAGCGAAAACATTTGCTGTTTTATTATTTTTAATTTTTAAATTGTGTAGTTTAATTAATAGTGCAGTAAACAGATGAAATTGACCATTGGGGTGCACCTGTGCAATCAATATATCAATTGTGTAGCAAATTACATAATTGTGTAGTTTGGAACAACCCTGTAAACAAAGTGTAAAGACGTGAGACTGTGACGAAATCGATCATCGCATCGGTCACTGCTCTATAGATCGACATAAAGCGTGCATCAGCGCCAGACGCCAGTAAGAGTGTTGCGGTTATGTTATGGCCCATAAATCGCAGGTCATTGTGAATCACAAGTATTGTTAATCACTGTTATTAGTGGTGGCTCAATCGTAGGTTGTGAGTGTGATCGTTCAATCACTGTGAAAAAAATCACCCACTGTAACATGTTGCTCATCACTAACAAAAGCGTATTCAAGTTTAGTCCCTTACTAGAGCGAAAAATAGCATTTTCAATGCATGTTCATTAAATAATGATTTACAGTTCTTGATTATAAATCGATGGGATTTAGTGCCTTGAGAACAGATATTATTTATATGTATTATCAAAACTTATACCTAGATCTCTAACATCAGTACTTCTAGTTAAGTCGACATTATCAATGTGGTACATGTATAGAACGGGATTACATTTACGGCTAAAGGTACATAATTTATATTTACTTAAATTTAAGGGAAGACAATTTCTTGTATATTATTCATTAACTTTATTTAATTCCAGTTGGAGCAAGGGGCAATCAAATTGAGATCTAATTTCTAGAAATATTTTTAAATCGTCAGCAAATAATCAAGATTTAGATTGTAGTGCATTAAGAAGGTCTGTTTTTCTTTTTCTTGATATAAAGACTTTTATTTATTATGGGGATCGTTTCTACTGATTTGTTTGTTTTTTCTAATGCTTTAGGGTCTAAGTTCGTCTTTATGTCTTTGATTGTACGTATCATAAATTGGTAAATCGAAGCCGAAGTGTATTTCTTCTGCATAAAGGCCATATAAAATTGAAAAAGGTGAATACCCGGTGGCACTGTGTAGAGATTGATTATAAATAAGTACAGCATGAGTAAACGTGTCGTCTGAGTTTTCGGGGTTTTGAGCTTTTAAACTTCGAAGTTTTTCTAATAAGTTAGAATGGAAACGTTCTACAGGTAAATTGGAAAGAGTTGTTTACCGTTTAATTGTTGGGCATAACTGACACCTTGTGTCGTAGTTTTGGAGTTAAATTGTCTGGGTTTGGGTGCCTGGGGTCTCCTGCTAACACCCATGTTTGGTGCTTTCGGACATCCTCTGTAACTCGCAGGATGTTTCCCACGGCAGTTTGCGCATGTGGCTTTCTCATTAGGTGGCCGTTTGCACAGAGCCGCTCTGTGGTTTCTGCCACATCTGACGCATCGTTCATCCATGTGGCACATGGATTGTGCGTGATGGTTCCCCTGGCAGCGATAGCATTGTATCGCGCCGTTTGGTGCCCTTTGGGCCTTAACTCTGACTACGAGTCCAACACACCGGTTGAAAAGTAGTATATCATCTTTTTCAGATTGGGGTAAATCAATCAGGAATAAGGGTAGAGCCCTTTTGTCTACCCTTGAAGTCATTTGCTGCACCTTAATCGGATGCAGGCCCTGTTTAGTCAGGTCGCTTAGCTGGTCCTGGGTCGACATATTAGTTGGTATTCCCGTTAGGACTGCCTTGTAGGATTTATCTTCTGCCAGCTGATGGCAGAAGAACTTAACCCTTAACTTGGCAAAAGTTTAATTTTGAATCTAAAAATCTGAAAATTTGCATGTGTTCTGTTTGGTGGTCATACAAATATTCTATGATAACAAAAAAATTATATGACATTTGTATGTCAAAAATTTTGATTGTATACCAGAGTATACATCGCCAAATAGCCCGATAAATGGGTATGTATAGCATATTATACATTGCCAAGTTACGAAGTAAAATCAAACTATCAAAAATTACTCAAAAATATTTATTTGTTAATATGAACATCCATAAAACAATTTCTGTTCTGGACTAAACATAGGCTTATATTGCATTTGCTACAAAATATGGCGGTTTGTCCCTTCTTGCAATTTCTACACCTGCCCATTGCACCATAAATTGGAAAATGATCTAGATGATCCAATCTAATGTCATCTTGGGTCTAGGCTTTACCGGGTTTTTAATTTTTTTTGAAGTTAGTGGTAGCTGTTCATTACTGGGACGTCCTCTTTTTACTCTGTCAGTCTGCAGTAGACTTTTGGCAAGTTTAATTCGAAATTGTTTGAGTGGCATTACTGTTTTTGGATTTTCTTGTAGGATGTTTGAATCTCGTTTGTATAATAGCCAAGCATTATTTACAGATATATCTATAATTTGAGAAAAAATACTCATATACCATCTATGCGTTTTGAAGCGTATTCTATATATAGCAATCAACATGTCTGCCAAATCCACACCACCCATATGACTGTTATAGTGTTTTATTAACTGTGGGCATGGAATGTGAATTTTTCTATTTTCCTCTTTGGAGAATCTTTGGATAGTTTTCATTGGATTGGAGGCCACATACGAACTACATAGGGTTACGGACTTGTTATCGTACCACTTTTCAACAACAATGTGACTGTCATTGTCTACTCTTTGGTCAAAACTACCTCTTCCATCTTTTTTCAGTTTCTTATCCGATTCAAGTGGGCAATCCCGTAGTCTGTCTTTTCTAACAGTTCCCAAAGATAGAATTCCAAATTCACTTCGAAGATATGTTATAAGTTCTAAACTTGTAAAATAATTATCAAAATATACCATCGATAATGGTTTATTTTGGATTGTCGAACATAGTGCTAAAACACATTTTGCACCAAATCCCATGTTATTTTCAACTTCTGTAAAACAATGGTTTCTAAACGTATCATTTCCTCCATAGGGAAAGAAATCATACACTATCCCAGATACGCCACAGCGAACAAACATTTTGAAACCCCATTTTTTTGGTTTATTCTTCATATACTGCCTCCTCGAGCCGGCCTTTTTCCCCTTGTATGGAATCATCATTTCATCCACTGAACATCTAGACTCTGACTCAATTGTAAGACAGTTTCTTCGTACACGATCTAGAATAGGCCTTACTTTAAAATATCTGTCATCATTCAACTCCTCGTTATTGACGAAATGAAGGCTGCGTCGTATTGCTTGATACCTTTTTAGTGGCATTATATTTGCAATAAGTTCATATCGTGTTTCTTGAGCCCAATAGTCCGTGTAAGCCGGCATGTCAACAATCCCCATTAAAATTTCGATAGCCAAGAAATCGTGCATTTCATCTATGCTTGTGTCTACACATTTGTGAAATGTTTGTGTCGAATACAGGTTAGTTTGATCTACGATTAATTCAACGATATCTGGACTAAAAAAGGTTTTAAAATATTGCAAAGGTGTTTTTATATTTTGGGGGCTTGTAAAATCATTCGTTTGTGCCGTTGTTACTTCATATTCAAAATCATCAGTTGTCCACTTAAATGGAGGCTCATCTTTTTTTCCTTTTCTTTTTATTGAAGAGTTTGGGTTTTCTTGAACTAATGGCGAAAACGGTGGCACAACCGAGGGAGTAGCTGCTGCTAGTCTTTGTTTACTGACTGAAATAGGTAATAATTCTACAGCGTCTTCTCTATTTTCTTCAGGAGTGTAATTTTCCTCATCATCATCATCTGGATCTTCAATGAATTCTTTCAGTAAATTACGAGATAACACCTCTTGTTCATCGTCACTACTGCTTTCTGGGTCGCTTTCAGCACCAATTGGAGGCAAAAGAGCCATAATTTTATCAATTCTCCTTTTTGTATTCTGAAAATAAAAATAAATATCGAGTAACCCATACCGGGAGGTGTATACTATACAATACAATAAATTTTCATTCAATTTGTGGAAAAAATATTTACTGAATACCAAAAATGTATTTATAAATAAACAGTACTATGCTTCAACAGTAATTTCCCAAAAAATTATCGCTGCATTATAAAAATCAATAAACAATAACAATAAACTTACCACTTGTTGCTTGGAACAACACGCTTGCTCATCCATTTTGCTGAGACTGTCTCCATACCAGCGGACTTAGATGCGCGAATTGAGATTTTCGCACCGATCTCCCGTCGGCTACATACGATAGTGTATCGTCCACTATACATTGCCAACAAATGGGTCTCAAATCTTACTGATTCCCAAATAAAAATATATGTATATTATGTATATTATAACATACGTTGCCAAGTTAAGGGTTAACTCCTGACTTCTCCAAGTATAAAGTCATCTTCCGGTAGTCGTCTGTGGTTTTGGGCCACACACGCGTACCGTTACCTTTTACAATCGCGGTCTCCTAATTAATTTGGTTAATTTCAAATTCCCGTTTTATTTTTATCCAGTTTGTGGCTCGGTCTAGCAGAATAGACGCCACCTTTGGATTTTTATTTTCTTCATTTTTATTTTTGTTTATGTCGATTTCTTTATTTTCATTATTATTATTGTTTTTATTTGTTATATTTACCTTCGCTTCGTTTTTATTATTATCGTCAGTCCGAATATTATTTTCGAGGGGGGTTATTTCCTCTTTACGGCGTTTTGCCGCATTACGTCTTTGTCGGCGGGTTTTACCGCTTCTAAACCCTTCTTCATCGCTTGAAGAGCTTGACTCATTGTCTGAGTCTATGTCCATTTCCGTGTTGTTATCGCCTGAGGGGCGGGCTAGTATGTCAGTTTGTTGCATGCCTGAGGGGCCGGTTGCGTTGCTTATTTGTGTATTTTTGTCGTTAGTTTTACTGTCGTTCGCGTTTTTGTCTTCATTAGTTTTATTTACGGAAATCGGAATATTACTTTTAATTCTATGGTCTCTAGTTTGTATGTCTATGTTGGTTTTGTCTTTGTTTGTTTCTTTAGTTGTATTATTATTATTATTTATGATGGTTAAATCTTTAGGTTTATTTATTGAATCTTTTTCGTTGTTTACTTCTGTTTTATTTGTCATTAACATTAGTTGCTTTAGGAGCGCGCATTTTTTTTAGGGTGTGGTTCATTTGGTCAATTACGTTTTTTAGTCCGTTTATTTCGTTTTTTAGTTGTTTAGATTCGGCCTCCGCTTTTGCCTTATCGTTCAGGGCCCTTGCCCTTGCGTCCTCGCTGTTTCTCAACAGTTCCATAGTGCCCTTGATTTTTTTTTTTGATTTATCGATTTTTAGTTGGTTGACGACTCCCAGGTGGTCCTTCCTGAAAGTCGTCGACAGTAAGGGTTTTGACGGTCCGTGATGCGGTATTGTCTCACCCTTTGTATCCGTGTTATTTAAAGTAAAATTTATCATAATAAAATATAAATTAAAATATGGTCATTCGGGGGATAAAAAATCGTACAGAGTAATTAAAAATTACTTACCCTTCCTTGAGGTGTCGTTCTCATCCAGTGGCCCGATTTTCTGTATCTCTCTCACTTTGAATTTTATTCGATGCACATAGTGTCTATCTCCGATAATTTTATTATTATTATTATTATTATTATTATCACACTTTTGTCACTCGGGTATAATCGCGTCACTATATTTTAAAAATAAAATACCATCCCCGGCACTAAAAACAATTGTCTTAAACAGCTGGGTTAAGGATCTCTATCTGCCTACTTCCTTATCCAACTGCTCGTAACGACGGTCGATCTCGAGTGACTGCCAGTTTGGATTTTTTTTTTTTATTTATTACTGGTAATCTTAAGTATTTTACATTTTTATAGGACATTTCATTTTCCTATTTCCCTGCTATAGGAGTTATCCTCCTTTTCAGGGTGGTCTGCCCTGATTACAAAGTAACCTAGCTAGCTAATTTCCTAAATTGTTGTGCGCGTCTGTGGGACCTGTGTGGCAGGTTGTGTTCCCCAAGAATATCGCCAATTTTGCCAACCCCATAAATGGACAAGTCCAAGTATGAGGTGGGGAATATGATTTAGGAAAACCACAAAACCTAAACCACGATATTGTACATAGTTTTGACTTTCTAATTAAGTAATTGGGAAGGGTTTATCTTATACTTAGGGGGGCTGATTCCAGCAGATCCTGGAGTTCAGCGGTGAGGGGGAGGTCTTGGGCGTCGGTGAGAAGTTTTAGATTAGGCTGTGGCATTTTTCTTTTCGGTTTTCGAAAGAGAGGAAGTTGGTTGGGGCGCCATGGGGTTCGGAGTGTGTCTAGGGAGTGAGTGTTTGTGCCTTTCAGCGTGCGACAGACGTACTGTTTCCTGAGGGTCTGGAAACGTGTGAGGATGGGGGTGTTTAAGTAGACTTCTCCACTGGGGGAGCGATAGGGGAGGTACTGGCAGCGTCTGAGAATACGTCTTTCGAGTGTGGTAAATTTGTGGGACAGGTATGTGGGAAGTACTCCGTAGGGTATAGCTCTGTATTCGGCAACGGGTCGGATGAAGGAGTTATATGTGTGAATAAGGGTGTTTGGGTTACAACGCCCCATTCGTCCGCACAAAGCTCCAAGGAGACTGGCTCGCTTTTGCATCTTCTCAAGAGTGCGTTGGACATCAGAGGACCAGTTAAGTGTACGAGAAAATCGTACCCCCAAATAATCGACTTCAGTCTGTTGAGCGAGCCTGACTCCTAGGAGATTTACGTTTACGAGTTGGGGGTTCTGGGAGGTATGTCTGGAGTTCAAATCTCCAAGCAAAACGGCTCGTGGGAGAGATGATAGGTGTTCTATCAGTGGTAGGGAGATGATTTGGCCTGGGCGGTTGTAATATGAGATGATTGTTAATGGATTGTCTATCGGGAGGTCTATTGCTATTATGTCTAGTTCAGCTAGATGAGCTGGAAAAGTGTGAGAGTTGAATGGAATTGAATTTTTAATTAAAAGAGCATTCCTAAAAGAGTTTTGGGATTTATTTAGATGAACAGTTTGATACCCAGTGAAGCTGGGGGGAAGTTTTGACTTAGTGTCTGTAAGAGATAATATTTGAAGGTTTTCTGAATTTAAAAGATTTTTGATTAATGGCCTCTTCCGAGCGAGGCCATTACAGTTTATTGTGCCGATTAGACAGTCCATTAAAGGTCGGGGTTTATCGGGGAGCATGTAAAGATTGCTAAGTTTCCATGACCTGTTACGGTGCATGAATGGCCGAAAATGGCCGGGATTAGCGTTCTCAAGATTTTGGTAAGAATTTCTCGACTATTTGGTAGGAGGTTCATCAGTAGAGTCGAGAATAGTTGTATGGAGATCTTGAGCTCTGATGTTAGCTCTTGGGGGGGGGGGACAGGCGCTACCTGTTCGGGTTTCTGTGGGGGCTTTTGCCGTTCGGGGCAGGTTATGGAATAGGCAGGGTGGTTGCCGCGACAATTTGAGAATTTTGGCACCTCTGACTTTTTACAGTCAGCTGGCCTGTGGTGCAGCCCGTCGTTGGGACAGGCGGGTTTTTTGTACATTCTGAGGCCGAATGTCCAAGGCCGGTGCACTGGGTGCAATATTTGGGAATGGGAGGCAGGGGGTTTTGGTTGGAGGGTTTCGGCATCTTCGGTCGAAGACACCCTAACCCTCTCGAATTAGGTAAGAATAGTGCGACTCTGAAGGAGTCAGCACCCTAATGAAGGAAGTATATTCAAGGGTTTTTTGGGACCTTATCCTCCATACTTTAGTATAGGGGACGCTAAGGTCCTCGAGAACTTCTTGGATTTCTTCAAGGGAGATGTTTTTGTCAACCTGGCGGATGACGAGAGAGAATTGGGGGCGGGGGGGGATCGGGTGATTTTTTTCTGGAGGGGTTTGAGCATATTTGGGATTTAAGATTAATTTGTTGTCCCCCATTCGCTGCCTTATGAGGGTCTGAAGTTCGGTGGGGGTTTTGCTTGAGGTGGTTTTAATTAGGGCGGTTTTATTGAAGTTGGCTTTCACAAAAACAAGGTTTTGGCAGAATAGTACCTGAGTATTCAGGATGTTGTATAGGGCCTTTTGGGTGGAGTAGATTGTGGGGATGTTCCTGAGAACATATAGTGTTTGTGTAGGTCCGAGGGGTCTGTTGGGAAGGTTGTCGGCTTGTGTGGGGTTTGGGGCGGGTTGTTGTGTTTTTAGGGGGTACTGTCGCGGAAGTTTTGGAAAATATTGGAGGGTTTTAGGATCGTTCGATCCATGAGAGAGGGGATTGAATTGGAGCTTTTTTGGCTAGAGGTTGGGGAGGGGATTGTGGCCATTGAATTTGGGCCTTGGCCGTATTGCTGCGGGGTAGATGCAGCAGATCCGGCGTAAGAATTTTTGCGTGTCAGCACCATGGTGGTGACAAAAGGTTTGTTGGGAGGAAGTTGTTGAGTTTGTTTAGTAATTTGGGAGTCCCTAATCCGACTCAAGGGCTATTAACCCCGGCAATGGTGGCTTGACCCTAGTCGGATGACGTTTGTTAGTTAGGTTATACTTACAATGTTTTGGTCCTGTAGTCTTGAAGTCGTCTAAAGTAGTCCCTTGCTAAAGAAATGGATTAGTTATCGTTGATGACAGATCAATCTATTCGAATAATTCGCTATGCGAATAATAACCTTTTTTAAGGAAAAATTTCTTAAAAGAAAATTTCCAAAATAGGGCTATGGACCTGTAAAAAATGGGGTTAGTGTCGATCTATTTAATTTAATTTCCAAATCTTATTCGAAAAAATATTAGCCTTTTTTAAGAAAAACTCTAAAAAGAATTTTTCGAAATAGGGCTATTTGGTTTGTTCACTTTTTAGGAATTTTTCTCTGGAAATATTTTTCTAATTAAAATGTCTGAAAAGAAATTTCAAAAATACTAAATATAACCTAGGATGCTTCAGCGGGAGTGTGCTTTCGCAGTGACTTCCGCAACGCTTCTGATTTGCTTCGGCTGTTCTCGTCCGCTCGTTACACAGGTACCGTCTCGTACTGTTGCTGGATCTCGAATGGCCAGTTTGCACACACACACACACAGTAATTGAGCCCAAGTCGGGAAGGTTCCCATCCTGATTTACTGGATCGGAATCCTCCTGACGACCACCTCCCCACGTGACTGCTTGGTTTCACGTGGCCTCAATTTACATCTTTTGATTAGTATGCCATTCCTCCTAAAAGGGCTGTGAAGGATGACATATTATCTGAAATTTGGACAGGGTTTGCTGATGGCATTTCCCAGTCCTTGTCTGAATCGCGTGTTGCGCTCCGCCGTATGCTGAAAGAGAACGCTGAAAGAAAATCTTAAATCTATGAGACGCTTGAATTTTGCACCCAAGGTCAGTCACTCGCCGCCGCAATCCAGCACCTTGCGTGGTCTGGCGTGTCTTCTGTAGTCATCTCTCTCATATTCCGTTAGTTCTCTTATTTCGATATTGGGATGTGTTCTTAGCTTCTCGAAGGTATCCGTGGCCTTCTTATGTATTAGGTCTAGAACCCTCTTGGATTCTAGGTCCCTCCTGATGACGTCATTTCTCGTGTATCTGTAGGCGTTTGAGGCCCATCTTAAGCTGATGTTTTGTTGGCTTTGGATCCTTTTCCTGTTTGTTCTGCATGTAAATCCCCATGCCGTTGAAGCGTACATGAGGATGGGCATTAATACAGCCTGAATGATCCTCATTTTTGTCTGTAATAGGAGCTTGCTCTTCCGTCCTATTAGGCAGTTCAGTCTCGATCTTGCTTGTTTTGTCTTGTTGACTACCATGTCCACGTGTTTCGTGAAGGTGAGTCCTTTGTCCATGATTACTCCTAGGTACCTGGCTGAGTCGGTCCATGGGATGTCCTGTCCATTCATTGTAATTTCTTCTCCTGGGGGGTGGTGTCTCTTCTTGAACAGCACAGCCTGTGTCTTCTCCGCGTTGATTTTTATCTTCCATCTGATGCACCATTTTTCTACGTCTTCCGCTGCGTCTTGTAGATATCTTGATATAAGTCCTGGCTGTGTGCTCGTGGCAGATATCGCTGTGTCGTCCGCGTATAGGGACATGGTAGTGTGTTGGGTTTTAGGGATGTCTGCGGTATATATGGAGTACAGCAGAGGTGACAGTACCGCCCCCTGAGGCACCCCCGCTTCTGGGGCTCCGGGTCTCGATAGGACATGTCCCATCTTGATCCGGAACTGCCTTCCGCCGAGGTACGACCTGAGCAGCCCTGTCATTCCCGCCGTAAACCCTTGGTCTCTCATTTTGTAAATCAGTCCAGCGTGCCATACCCTGTCGAATGCCTTGGCGACATCTAGAAATATGGTGCCTGTCGACTGATTTCTGTTGAATCCTCTAGTGATTCCTTCGACGAGTCTTAGGACTTGCAGTTCGGTCGAGTGTTCCTCTCTGAATCCGAATTGCTCGTCGGGGATGATGTTCAGATCCCTTGTTTGTTCTCGAAGTCTTCTGAGGATGACTCTTTCCGCAATCTTACTCATAGCTGGGAGCAAGCTAATGGGCCTGTAATTTTGCGGAAATTGGGGGTCCTTGTTCGGTTTCCGTATCATAATCACTTCCGCTTGTTTCCACAGTCTAGGGAAGTACTGAGTTCTTAAAATCCCGTTGATGATGGCCGTGAGGTAGACTGTGGCTTTCAGCGGGAAGTGTTTAATCGCTCGGTTTGTTATTTTGTCTCTGCCGGGGGCTTTCTTGGCAGTTAGGTACTTGATGATGCCCCTCACCTCGTCCGGAGATGTGGGCTCAATGTATCCTACTTCGTGTTCGGTGTCGAAGTCCTCTTCCACTTCTTCTGTGAAGTCCAGATCTTCATCTTCGTGTTCGTTGTTAGAACACTGAGATTCTAGCGAAGTGGCGAAGGCTTCGGCTTTTTCCTCTATCGTGTTTGCCAGCCCATTTACTCCATGCAGAGTTGGTACTGGTTTTCTGTCGTCTCTTAGGATTTTCTGAAGTTTCCATAGTCCAGGCCTTTGGGGGTCGAGCTCTCCGAGAAAATCTTCCCAGCTTCTGTCAGCATGCAGTTTCAGTTCCTCGCTGATGCGACGTCCTAAAACGTTGGCATAACGTCTGTCTGCTGGGTTTCTCGTGCGAAATGCGATTTTCCTTGCTCTCTTCCTGGCTGAGATTAGGTCTTTCAGATCTTGACTCAAGTTCTTAAATTTGTGTATATTCGCTACTGTCACTGTGGTCGAGCTGGATGCAAGTGACTGCTGGATGACTTGCTCTAGATTTTCAAGAGCCTGGTCGACGTCTGCTGGGTTCTCTATTCTGGGGATGTTTCCCAGAGTTGCACCCACCATTCTTTTAAATTTTGTCCAATCTGTCTTAGACACTTCTTTCGGAGTATCTAACCTTTCTCCTTCTCCTAGGACAAGGAGGGTAGGCTTGTGTACTCCGACTCCTTCATGCAGAGTGAACATTTCTAGTGGAAATGTGCAGTCTCTGATAACTGCAATCTCTATTACATCTGGGACTCCTCTGCCAGGATGGTGGGTGGGTTCTAGAGGTCCGATCGCCGCACAACCAGGGTTGTCGTCCAGGAAGTTTTCCAGCACCCGTCCTTTGGGGTTGTACACTGTGCTGTTCCAGTCCGGTGATTTCGCATTTAGGTCTCCGATAATGATTCCTTCCACGTCTGGTGGAAGGATAGCTTCTAGGTCTTCGTGGTGCAGGATAGATTGTGGTCTTACGTAGGCCGACGATACTCTTAGATCCCCGTGAGAGGTTCTAATGATTATCGAGGTGGCTTCCATGGACCTCAAGTTATCCGGCGTTGGAATCCGGTAGTGGTCTATCTCCTTTTTGATAAGGAAGGCAGTTCCTCCTGACATATTAGTGAAGTCGTTCCTATAGGTGTAGTAGCCAGGCCACTTAATGTTCCGAGGTTCGGTAACCTTAGTTTCCTGGAGTGCCATTACATCCAGGTTCTTCCTCTCTAATATTTCCCCCATGGTGTTGATATGGGTTTTGATCCCTCCGGAGTTCCAAGAGCCTATCTTAAGTTGTTGGGGTCTAATGGGTGTGTTACTCATTGCGTTGCTGCGAGAACTGCCTCATGACCATTTGCAATGACTGAGCAAATGAATCCTGTATTTGCTTAATGGCTGCGTCAAAAGCAAGCTGTTGCATTCCATGATTTATAGTTTGCTGAGTCGTATTTGTGGTTGTTTGGGAGTATGTCCTTCCTTCCACAATTTTTGCTGGTCTTGGGGCCGTTCTTGGAGCAGGTCGCGCTGAGGCTGTGGGTTGCGCTCGGTGATTTGCCCTGGGTTTGGGCATGCTCGGGCATCCTCTGTAGTTAGCCGGGTGTTCTCCGGCGCAATTTACGCAGGTTGGCTTATCCTTATTTATTACTTTCGTGCATTCGGATGCGCGGTGGGGTCCTCCACAACGCACGCATCTTTCGTCCTTGTAGCAGTTGTTCTGCGCATGGTGAAAGCCTTGGCACTTGTAACACTGAGTTGCGTAGTTCGAGGCCCTGAGTGTTTCCACCCTAACCACGATCCCTGCGCATCTCGTTACTTTCAAGATGTCCTCTTTCTCCGCCATGTTAATGTTCACTAAGTATAGTGGTAGTGAGTTTTTTGTTCTTCTGGCTCTCATCTGTTGGACTTTTATTGGATTTAGTCCTTGGGCAACCAACTCTTCTTTTATTATACTGAGGTCAGTATCCTCGGGGATACCCCTGATGACTGCCTTGTAAGGTTTGTCTTCTTTAAGAGTAAAACAATGGAATTTTTCCTCCATTTCTATAAAATACTTCTGCATTCTTCTGTAATCTTCTTCTGTTTCGGGCCAAATTTTTAGCTCACCGTTTCTATAAACGGTGGACAAGTAGCGGATCTCCCGATCTCTGAGTCCCAGTCTCAACTGGAACCATCTACCTGCCCTTGCTAAAATTATTGGCGGTGGTTTGGGTTTGCTGGTGGCCTTTGTTTTTCCGGAGTTTTCTTCGGGAACCACTTTTGTGTCAGTTATTTTCCGGTTCTGTGTATCTTCGCTTTCGCTGTCCGACTCGTTTCCTGGTTTTTTTCTCTTCTTTCTTTCCACGAGGGTGAAACCGTCGTTGTTTCCTTCAGGAGTGGTAACTTCATCCGTTTCCATCATGTCGTCTGTATTCTTGCTGTCGCCTGTCTCGGAAGTCAAGCTGCTCGAGCTTGTTCCTTGAGGGGTCGGGTTTTGGCCGTTTTCTTCTGTGGGTGCCGAGCTGCTCGAGCTGGCCCCAGGGTTAGTCTTCTTTAGGAGGACTGGCTTAACGGATTGGGTAATCCGCTTTGCGTCCTCCTTATTCTTTTTAATTATATCTTCTTTTTTCTTCTTCTCTTCTTCGGCCTTTTTCTTTTCTTCTTCTTTTTCCTCTGATTCGATTTTCTTTGTTTCCTCTTTTTCTTTTCTTCTCTTTTTTTCTTTTCTGCTTCCCTTTTCTTATCTGCTTCTCTTCTTCTGTCGGATTCCTTCTTCCTTTCTTCTTCCTTTTTCGCGTCGGCTTCGCGCTTGGTCTTCATTTCCATTCTATTATCCTCCAGCATTCTTAGAATGTTTTTGTTCTGCTCTTTTAGTTCTTTGTTGGCTTCCATTAGCCTTGCTATTGTGTCCGCCTGTAATTTTTCCTGTACCATCCTTTTTTGGATGAGCTTCTTCAGTAATTTGTTTTCTTCGTGGACGTCAACCACCGGTTGTTCCTCTTCGCTTGAAGATTCATAGTCAGAATTCCCCATATTGTGACCTCCCACAGGGCGCAAAATAAGATCTCAGTATAATAATTTATAAAAGACTTACCCGTACCTTGATGAATAATCCTTTAATCCGTCATTTGTTGGTCACTTAATATTATTTTGTCACTTTTTTATTTTTTGTCACTTTCTATCACTTCGATATTAATTTTGGACGCACATAGTGTCTATCTCCGAGTTGAATTTATTTTTAAACTCACTTTCCCTATCTCACTTTGTTTATACACTGCACATAATTTTTAAAATAAAAACATCTGCACTTGTATTATATCAATGTTTCGAATTGAAACGCGATCGCGACTTGCAAAGTGGTTAGGCAGTTCCGGTATAAAATACCATCACCGACACTAAAAACGATGCCTTAAGCTGCTGGGTTAAGGATCTCAATCTGCCTACTTCCTTATCCAACTGCCCGTAACGATGATCTTGTCAGGTGACTGTCAGCCTCGCTGCTCGATCTCTACTATGGCCAGTTTGGACTATTGCTTCTCCTTTTATATCTCGGCGGTGGCAAGGGATACCATCTCTCTCGTTAATTGAAGTGGAAGGGAAACGCTCGTCTTGCTGGGTCACCGCTTCGAGGTATGTTTGGGAAACCAGTGGCGTAGCTTTAGTAACGGTAATTTATTATCGTTACAGTTCTTCTAACGAGAGGTTCCGAAAATTCTCGCTTGAAAGTTCATATCTTGGAATTGAGTTTCATCGATGGGATAATCATCGCTTGGAAAATTATTTGAATATTCTTCGAAATTTTCAGGGGGTTCGAAGTAATTTTCGGATTCGACATTAAAATTATGCGTCCTTCTAGTCGAAATCGACATGGCTTGAGCAGCTTGAGTGCGTATGGTTTGTACCCCGCTCATAGGTTTGGGAGCAGAGTTATTGCTCTGGTTTTGGAACATGGGTCTAAACTGATATGATTGATTTTGAAATGGTTTATAGGTATTATTCGGGGCAATTGGATTTCTTTGTTTAAAATTATAATTATTTTGATGGGGTTTAAAAGGAACATTTTTATTTTGGTTGCTAGGTGGAAAACTTTTTGGGTTTTCAATTTTTTGCCATTTTTGTAATGCGGTATCTAACGAATCTAATAAGAAATGCGAAAGATATTCGCAATAAGAATTGTTGAGACCTGTACAAAATGTTTTAATGTTATATTTTTAAAATAAAGGGTTTTAAATTCTACCGTTTCACGGTTATCACTTAAGGATATGTGTGTGTGAGTAAATCATTCAAATTATTATTAATTCTCTGATGATACTCATCGTATGTTTCAGATGGTTTCTGTACAGAGGTTGTTAGTTGTGTGACTAGGATTTCTTCAGATCTATCACCATATTTTGCTAATAAAACGACGTATTTCGGTCCAATTTGTTTTATTCGAAAAATTTAAATAATCTCCCGGCTCACCTTTAATCCTAGACAAGATATTTGAATTTAATATGCATTCTTGGGGAGCAGTAAGATTCTGTCCCTGAAGAAAAATTAAAAGGTTATCTACGGAGTTTAAAAATGTTGACAGTTTACTTCTCGTTGAATAGTCTGGAAGAGTTAAACAAAGACTGGCAATGTCACTATTGTTTAACATTCTTACAGGAATTGGGTTTTGAACTTTCAAATTTACGGGGCTTCGATTTTGTGAAAGAATTAAATTAATTTCTTCCTCGTTGGAATAAGAAAAGGTGCTCATAAGTGAAACAGGTAAAGAAAAGATACAGGAAGATTTGATTTCTTCTGCATTACTTTCTTCGTAGATCGTCTATCAAACAACTGTAGTTGACCAGGATTCTTGTAATTCTGTATAGATGATCCTGTTCGCAGCGCCAATTATGCTTTTACTTACTCAAAGTACTTTTTAAAAAGGATGTTTATTAGTTTATAAATAAAAGTGGTATACAATAATTCGTTATAATATTGTTGTATTTACTGCACAACGAATGGAAAAACAGTAACAAGCTAACAGAGTTACACAAACTAGTTATAGAGAGTTTATCCTATTTGATTGTAATAAAATCAATTAAGGAAATGGCTATTGCGCCCGTCGTCGCTATCTTATCTTAGCGTAGGGTCCATTGTATTGGATGGTTACGCTAACGTTTCTATAGATATATAATCTTTAAATATTTTACTCTAATATCACAAACATTACATTACTATTTAGGTACGTTAACTATATTTGGTTAAAAGAATGAATATCAAAAATTGCACAACAAATAATTTACTTGATATAAAAACTAATGCCTAATAAACTATCTAAATAAATAAAAAAAATATATAAAACAAAATTCTTCTTGAATCTTGGGAAGTAAGATAAATGCCAACCATCCATATAAACTGAAACAGAAAAAAGTTAAATGCAGTAACTTCAAATCATTTTATTTGTTTCTTTTTGTCTTTTAGACATTGCCACAGCCCTCATATTATCATTATAATACTTTCTTATTATTAGTGGTAGACAAGTTTTGGCTAAATGAGAAAAGACGTCTATTTTATGTTCTTTACATGTAAACCATTCAAAATCAATATGGTCTGGTAAAAAAGTAAAATTTTCTGAATTATATTGTCAATATGATCCAAAAGTGGTAAACTTGTATAACAATTTCATGAACTTTTGAAAGAAATTTAATAATATTTCTTTGTACATAAACCAAACGTCTTTTACCATCATTTTCTTTAAAGTAAGTAAAAGTATAATGGTCTTCTTCTAACCTGTTTGTAAATTATACACTCTTTGCAGTCAAAACTATTAAGTTTTTTAACAACAAACCTTGCGACATAAACTAGTAGCCTGATTCTCAAATTCTGCATCATTTAATAATTTTGTTTTAAAAAAGTTTAAATCTATATTGTCTAATTCATTATTGATATCACAAATTAATTATTTCGGTTCTGTAGAAAGCCTAAAAATGAATTTAAATTATCTAATATGCTAGTTTCATCAGCTTTACAATTGGAATTGTAATTTCTTCCTGAAATTAAACGATCTAAAATGGATATTTTAAAAGCTGATATAAATTGGTAACAATTTGAAGAAGTATTGGCAGCACCATACTGCCGAATTGTGCCAAACATATTTTCAACTGGATCTTGGTTTAAAACACGCGTTCTGATGAATTTGAATCCCTTTTTCCAACATTCATTCATCCGTAGTTTGACACCCCTAATAGTAATTAACCAACCGGCCTTAAAAGGCATTACCTTCTTCATAGGTTTACCATTTTTTGGCAGAAACTGCTAAGATTCTATTTTTGACAATATAGAATTCCAACATTCTTGATATTTGGATCTCCTTGAAGCACACTGCCTAAGAGATTTACCACTAACGACACTTGGGTTATTACCATTAAGACTGTCAGAGAGCTTATCAATGTCCTTAATAAATTCAGCAGTATAGATAGCTTCAGATGGTAATTTATTAGGTACTATTAGACTTTTGTTGGCAGCAGCCATTATGTGGCTCAATAATTTTGCTTCAGTTGAAACCTTCATTTTTAACTTACTATTTCTTTTAATATCCAAAAAAAGATTCTATAACTTTATTTAATGCTTGAAATTTTTTTAGTTTTATCAAGATAAAAAACTTGCTTAATAAAATTAAATTCAGCACATTTAGAATTATTATCAAAATAAATATCATAATTAAACAAGGTATTTCTGGTACATTTCAAAAGATGGGGAGGATCGTACAAGGTAATTATCTTTTTTCCGTTGACAAAAAAAGACCTAGTTTTTTAATATTATTATCTGCTCGTAATTGTTTCAGTGCAGTACGATTTGTATTCCCCAGATCACAAACAGTTGCCATTACATTTAATCTCACTTTTTGTAACTCTGAAATTACTTTTACAATAATGATTTTCAAATCATTAGTTTTAACCTGATCTTTAGTGAAATAATAAGCCACTGGCTGCTTCCAAGCCTTTCGTAAGCCATTTATTACAAATGCCAATGCGTGGTCAGCTACCAAGGTCTACGAACCCTACAACTTTATCACTAGCTATACCCAAAATCAGTTGTTCTGTAAGAGTTATTTCGTCAAATAATAAGACATAGTTTCTATCAGTTTGCTTCATTTTAGCAACCCTTTCTTTAAACCTGTTAAAAATTGGTTTATTAATGCCGGTCTCAAATAGAACTGATCTCAAAAGTGACTGTAAAATAAATTTACTAGGTAGGGAGATAAAACGCTTTAAAAAATTATAAGCTCTTGGGCCCTTCTTATATAAAGCTAGTGACAAGACTTTATCTGATGTTGACCAAGAAGGTTTAATCTTTTTTGAATTAGATGCAGCACTGTTTAAAAATCTCATGCCTGCAGGATCGAGCTTCGAAATAATTTGTTGAAATAGATTTGATTCTGAAATTTTGACTGCATTTTTAATGTTACGTTTTGAATTAATTAGAGCCTTCTTTAATTTGCAAATTTGACTTTTCTGTATTCTAATAAAAAAATTAAGTTTTTTTTTCTTTCTAGGAGATAAACTATTAACTCGAGTTTCATTAATTTTATTTAAAAAATCCACTACCTAAGCGTTGTTTCTTAGGTAATAATTCGAATTCATTTGATGAATGACTATCATTGAAATTTTGATCTATACTATACTTTCTCTTCACAAGTAATCTGGAGGTGTGACAATAATATTACTAAGTACTACTATCTTTGGTGTATCTGGTTTTGAGGGTGCCAAAGGCAAAGCAAATCTTAGCAGTCTTGAAAGATTGTGTTTGTAAACGATTTTGTATGAAAATGATCTTCACATAATTTATGATTGGTTGTAAGTGAAATGTTTAAAATCTGGCACCATTTCTTTCTTTGATCAGTATCGGAAGGAAAATTCAAAAAATGTTTATCCTTAAAATTTACGTTTGAAATGGACCTATAATATTTACTATTACAATTGGAAACAATGCATTTATAATCAATTTTTCCTGGTAAAGACATGTTAAAGCATCAAAATACCTTTACTTAATTTTAAATTATCCTAAATAACTTATATCTAAAACTAAAATAAATAAAAATACTCTCACGCACATGTTTTCGTCGGTAACCATAACCATATTGTTTGTTTTGTTGA